CACAAAACTAGCAATGTGAGCAAACAAAATCATAAGGTTAGTTTTGAATTCTTGGGGACTTTAAGGTAAGAATGTAAAATAGTTGTTATAGTTTATTCAGTTTATTTATAAACAAATTAACAGGACACATGGGGAAATAACATTTTTGAAGCAATAGTTCACTTATAAATTAAGAAACCCTTAACCATTAATGATATATAATAATGCAGTGGTGTTTATGGAATCTAATTATTTTGGAAGGAGCCATTTTTGCAGCTTAAACCTTTTTTTTCTGTGGACTTATTATTATTATTATTATTATTTTATTTTTTATGCTTTTTTCACAATAAAAAAAAATCTTTTATTTCAGTAGATGAAGGAACATTTGAAATGACCTCTTTAAAATAAGTTTAGAAATAAGCACATTCTTTTTGATGTTTTATCCACTTAGTCAAAAAAATCCTGAACTGACTGGTTTACAGTAGATTTAAACTGCTAATATCCTCTCATGGGGAAATAACATTTGTTCTTAGTGCTCTGCGTGTCCACTTGGTCATTTAATTACATGTGTTTGCATATAATTGCGTGCGTGCATAATAGAAATGTTGGCTTGCACATGGTGATTTGGTTAATTAAGTCTGTTTCCAATGCTTTTTCATTCACGTTGGGCCTCCGCAGGACTCAGTCTACCGGGACCCTTCCCTTCAGCCTTTTGAAGTGAAAATGCTGATTGTAGCTTTTAGAAATCTGCATAAGGGTGTGGAAAATCTATGATGCAGTACATTACTATTTACTCTGTGGTTTGGTTATGAACAAAGGCTGAATTGTGTAAAGGAAGCCATCCTTTTTATAAACACTTACAGTATTCAAGTCTTATAATGAAGCAAAATACAGGTTAATTGACTATATAATGAGTAAAATGTGTGCAAACATAGAGCTGTGAGTGTGTATACATATATCAGAAGAGAGTACGCCTAGCATGATGTGTGTTTATTTATGCTTGATATGATACTCATGTCATGCATATATAAATGCAATCTGTCATGTGGATGCTGGGAAGGCAGCCCTCAGCTTCAGTCGTGCACTTCAAGTTATCTGTAGTGACAGCAAGGTGCATTACATAAAGACTCGTCCTGGTAGGATTTACCACAAAAAAAAAAGTGTTCTCAGAAATGAGCAATGATAAATACTCAGTGAGAAACAGGAGTCTTTATTTCTGGGACATAATGCAACCGTTTAATTTGTAAGTTAATTTATAAGTTTGTGACGTTAAAGATACACAAGTATTAAAACGCATGTTTGTTTTGTTTTTGTTTTTTTTTATAAAAATGTATGTGTAACAGAATCAAATTTAATTTTATCTCTGCACATTTGTGCATTTGTTTTCTTCATGTCAGTCACGACAGGTTCAGAGAAACGTCAACTCAGGAGAAGAGCAAGGCGAGGGAGTTTTTATAAAGAAATGTCAAAGTTTTATGTAGCCTGTGTAAAACTGGCAAATAAATATTACGTTCTGCTTAAATTACAGCATCTATGGGAGACTATATGAAAGTTTATACCGATTTAAAAGAAAAAACAACAAAACAAACTTGACGACAACAACAGATCCTACAGATGTCAGTGTCTTAATGAACAGAATATCCTTAAATAATGCATAGATGATGTTCAAAGAGTTTTTAGTTTTGTTATTTTGCTGTTTGTCATATATACATGCACTTTTTAAACACAAACAAATGTGGATGTCGCGGTGATGAAAAAGACCTTGACATGTGCTGCCTCATGTTGGCCTACTTTCATTAGAAGAATGCACTATACATGTTCTGTGCATTGTATCAGGTTTTAAGCTACGTTCACACTGCAGGCAAATGTGGCACGAATCTGATTTTTTTTTTCCCCCTCATGTGTGATGACAGTGTGAACAGCCCAAACCGCATGGAATCTAATCTTTTCAGGTCAGATCTGTGCCACTTTCAAGTGTGGTCTTAAATCAGACACGGATCTGATGTTTTGCAATGCGACCGCAGTGTGAACGGTTATGTCGTATTTCATGTGACTTTTACACAATCTTTGAGCTACATGCGTCATCATTCTGTGCTGCAAACATCATCTACCCCTCAGCAGCACAGTAGAATGGCACACAGGGCGATTACAGTATCACAGAAAGTTGGTTGTTCATGTTAAAAACAATTTTGAAGGCAAAACTGGTGCTTGTTAACTAATCTAGTTAACGATTGAGGCACGGGTTGATCGCGAAGCTAAAAAGCTTCATGGGTGTTGTGAGGATCGGTGTGCAAAAGAAGGAAGAACTTTCTCTTCGAGAGAAAAAAGGGCAGGTGCTCGAGCACCCAAACCCCCCTTCTGCATGTGTCTGTTGTTTATAACAAAGTAAAATTAAATAACTCTACAAACGGACATAAACCAAATACGCCTTCACAGCTCAGTCTGCGGCTGCTCATTAACCCTTGATGAGTTCACTAAACCGGTGATCAGAGCGCCACGCACCGCAGTTGTCATAAATCACAAACGATCAGTGTTTTTTATCACAGGACACTTATTTTAGGTCTCAAATGTCAAAATACACCTTAGTAGTAGCAGAACAATCATTTAAAGTTCATGAAATACACAACGGTTGTCTGTGAAAAGGGTAATAATAATATAAGCATGATCTGACAATGTGCTTACTCATGCAGCACTCAGGCGTTCATAATTAGACATTTTGCGTTCTCCGTAATGCACTTTTGAGCATCCGGGTCAGTTTAGGACCATGATCTGTTCACACTGCAAATCTGATATAGGTTACATTCATAAGAGCGGTGTGAACAGCCATGCAAAAAAATCAGATCTGCGAAAAAATCAGATTTGAGCACTAAGCCTTGCAGTGTGAACCAAGCCAGAGTATTGATCATACAGTCGTTTGATTCAGTTGATTGTATGAATTGTTTCTATACTTGATTTCTGTTGATCTGATTCATAGATTATTTGAAGTACATTTTTAGATTAGATCAGTTAATTTGCTCAGAACAATTGCAAACACATTTAGATATTTATTTAATTGTATTTATTTATTTGTTTAGAAACTGTGTTTGAGGGTATCTGAGGGTGCAAAAAAATCTTATTTATTATTTATTTATTTTTAAACTGTCTGAGTGAAAAAAAATCACTAATTTATTTTTATTTATTTATATATATATATATATATATATATATATATATATATATATATATATATATATACATACACACACACACACACGCATATATATACTGTCTGTCTCTATATATATATATATATATATATATATATATATATATATATATATATATATATATATATACTGTATATATGTATGTATGTATGTATTTATTTATTTATTTTAACTGTGTTGGAAGGTATCTGAGGGTGCAAATGAAAAGCTGTCCAAATTAACTTTGCCATATTACTTATGCCCATTGATATTTTAAGCACACCTGGGTGACGAGAAACAGGAAAATGTTTGACCCCGACTTTCTGAATCATAAGGCTAAACTGCAGGTACATGCGAGAACATATCAGTCAAACTCATTCAGTCATCAAAGAAAAAAAAAAAAATAAGAACACAACTTTATATATAATAAACTGTTAAAAGCTGTTAGTAACTAGTTAATTAGCTAAAGTTATTAGTAACTAATAAAGTTATCCCTTTAACTGCTTCCAAGAAAAAAAAATTGGATTGCATTTTTTAACTCCTAATGTCGCTATAACACACTCAATGCATTATTTTTCAACATCCATTTCTATAATATCAACCTCTACTAAATGGCTTATGTCGGTTTATGGTAAAAGTACCGTAATTGATACATATACTATGAAAAATCTAAAAATACGAAGTGTAAGACCAATTTATTAAAAAAAAAATCTAAAAACATTTTTAAATAGTAAATCCCCTTTATTTTTGAATTGTCATATATTATATTATATTTATTATATTATATTATATTATATTATATTATATTATATTATATTATATTATATTATATTATATTATATTAAATATTTCAGATTCTCATTTAAAATGTTTCTTGTTTGTTTGTTTTATTTTAAATAATAAAACCAAAATCAAGTGTAGTAATGCAATAGAATTGTTTTGTGGTTTTTTTTTGTGTTTTTGTTTTTTGTAAACCACAATGCTTTTGTGTAAACCATTATTTAAAACAGTCATTCTTTAAACATCTTTTAACAATGATTATTTAAATAAGTCAAAATATGACCAATCGTTTGGTAGAACAGGCAGTTAAAGGGTTAAGGTAACTAATAACCTTTACTTTTTGATTGATTGTAATTCAACAATGCTTTTACAACTGCTTTGAAACAATAATTAATTTGAAAAGAGTTACAAATAAACTTAAATTCAATATGACGGGGCAACGCAGTGGCGCAGTCGGTAGTGCTGTCGCCTCACAGCAAGAAGGTCGCTAGTTCGAGCCTTGGCTGGGTCAGTTGGCATTTCTGTGTGGAGTTTGCATGTTCTCCCTGCGTTTGCGTGGGTTTCCTCCGGGTGCTCCAACTTCCCCGACAGTCCAAAGACATTTGGTACATGTGAATTGGGTAGGCTAAATTGTCAGTAGTGTATGCGTGTGAATGAGTGTGTGGATGTTTCCCAAAGATGGGTTGCGGCTGGAAGGGCATTCGCTAAGTAAAAACATGTGCTGGATAAGTTGGTGGTTATTCAGCTGTGGCGATCCCGGATTAATAAAGGGACTAAGCCGACAAGAAAATGAATGAATGAATGAAATTGACTGTCTGGAGTATAAAAACCCACAAGCTGATGTTTGCATTTATATTTTAATTAAAAGTTTAAACAAAAGCATCGTCTCTGCTCATTTTATTACTAAGCATGCAAATATTAGTGGAGGACACTGCATACATTCTATTTAGAGTATAACGTTGCTCTACTTTTTAAATCAGCCTCTGGAATCATTGAAGTAAGACTGAAAAGAGTAAATGGACGAGAGTGAATGCAAATGACTGTAAAATCACAAACCTGTTCTCTAAGCCCACGTTTCCACCCAGAACCCAGTTTTCCTGCAGCTGCACGCATTCAGATGCGCTCTGGAGCTCCGCAGGTTGATTGGCCAGGGACTGGTTGAGGGAGGTGACTGACGGGTGCTGCTTGTGCTGGATTGGTGCAGGTGGCAGAGGAGGCGGTCCTGCTTGGCTTGGAAGCTGGTCTAGTGGAAGAGGAGAGAGGCAGAGGAATTAGTGGAGCTTGTTACAGAAGTCTGCTTTTCACAAAGCGCAGGCGGATTGAAGGCCTGTTCCAGATTGAGTTAAATGGGATTCTTTACAGGATGATTTGGTCCTATGAGCACCAACAAATTTTCACTAAACTCCGTCCAGGCATATTTGGGTGAAACAGAGGACACGCTCAAAACACTACGTTATGGGGAATCACACGCTTTAACCCTTTAACTGCCCCACCAAGAAAAAAAATTGGATTGGATTTCTCTTAGTGTAGCTAGTTAATACCAAATGGTTAATGTTAGTTTATGGTAAAAGTACTGGAATTAATACATATATTATAAAAATATGAAAAATATGATATGCAAGACCAGTTTATTTTGAAAAAAAATAATCAAAGTAAAACAATGTTAAATACCAAATCATCTTTATTTACTGATGTATGCCAAACAATATTTCAAATTCTTATTTCAAATGTTTTCTTTCTTTTCTTTTTTTTTTAAGACAAGAAAAGAAATCAAAATCAAGTGTAGTAGAGCAACAGGGTTCTTCTTGTTTATTTTTTGTAAACCTACAATGCTGTGTGTATAAACCATTATTTAAAAGTCATTCTTTAAATGTCTTTAACAGTCAAAATATTGTCAACCATTTGGTAAAGCAGGCAGTTAAAAGGATTTTAATGCAGTAATGTGATTTAAGTTATGAATTAAAATTACAAATGAAAACAATTCACAATCATCCTAGAACTGAATTGTATTGTTATACCAATTTGTCTTAGAACTTGACTTTACTTTTTATTTAAAATGGTTTCAAAAATAAATGATAAATTATCCATCCTGTAAAACCAAACAATTGCTTCCTTAATAAATAAGCAAATAAATAAATACTGCACAGTCTGCACAGCTGCTTATTGGTACTTATAAAGCAAATATTCTGTATGATCTTATTCTTTATACCCAACACCTAAACTATTAATGAGGAGCAAATTAGGAGTTTATTAAAGCAAAAGTCAAAATGGTTTGTTAATAACTGAACTACACAATTAAGTGTGACCAATTTTTTTTTCTAAGTATAAAAAACATATCGCAATTTATATCGCAGAAAAACGAAATATTACAATGTCAATTTTTCTTTAAATATTTATTTATACTGTAAAACCCAAAAAGTTAAAGACCATTTGAGAAAACCTATATATATATATATATATATATATATATATATATATATATATATATATATATATATAATTTATTTATTAGTTAAAAAGTTCCTAATACTCTTAAACAGATGCAAAATGCATATGGTTTGTCAAGTGTTAATATGATGTCACTGTCAAATATATTTCCCAAAATCAAATCACAACATTAGTTAAACAAGAAGATACTTGTTTAACTAATATTGTACAAAAATACATAACAATGTACTTATTAAAATGAGCCTATGCTTTAGAAGGAAGTTGAGCAACTGTACAACTTGGAAAGACCTGAAAGTGAGTATCAGTAGTAGCAGCGACTTTTACGAGTGAGCAAACGCAAGCCTCCGCAGGCCGTTGCCGGGGAGCAGATGTTTTATAATGGGCTCTTAAACTGAACGCTTCACGTTTGATTACAGCCAGAGAGAGACTCTCGTTTAACTAATGACCGGAACCTCCATTAGGACAGCAGGAAAAAAACAGGTTTTCTCATTTCACTCCAAGCTGGGTAATTGCCCCCCAAAATGACACTGTGTGATTATCTGACTGTCCCATCCTGCCGCCGTGCTGACAGGTCTGTTTCCATCTGACTACGGGTGTCCAAACATATGCTGTCACACGCTAGACTGTGACAGGGCAGCCACACAAATTCAATATTTGCTTTTATGCTCATGCAAAAGCACCACAAGGAATAATGTGCGTGTGGAGCATGATGGAATCATTTGTTATGAGCATTTCCCTTTGTCTCTTTTCTTCTTAATTTACCTTCTATGGTTTAAATGTCAATTAAGATTTTTTTTATTTATGTACTAGCATTGATCAGGATTGTAAATATAATTATCTTTGTGAAAGAAGCCCTGTTCCTAAAATTTAAAGGGCACCTTACTTTATATTGTCCAGTGTAGAATACCTTATTGTACTATTTTTTCAATAACATATATTATATTATATTATATTATATTATATTATATTATATTATATTATATTATATTATATTATATTATTATATTATATTGTCAATTTAAAAAATGCTGCGTAGCATTTCTTAGTATTTAATCAATTTTAAATTGCTCAACCTCATCTTATTTAATCAAAAAATATGTCTATTTTAGAATACATTTTATAATCAGTTTTAAAATTTTATTTTAATTCTTCTTTACTTGTATATGCAATTATCTAATGTTTCGACTATAATTTCATCTTATCTTTATTACATTTATACATTTCTGTTTATTTCATTTTCACAAACCCCTTGTGAAAACCATGTGTGGATAAAATAAATTTTGTTATTATATTATATTATATTATATTATATTTCTAATTTTTATTTGAAAAAATTGCATCTATTTCTTTTTTTAAGTTAAGTTATTTAATCAATTTTTTATTATTTATCTGCATATTTAATATTTTAATACTTTATATAATCATTTGATAGTTTAATATTTATTTAAATTTCTCTATACAAGTATTATTCTAATAAAGTTTTATTATTTATTTCATTGTATCTCTATTACATTAATAATACATTTTCTTTTTATTCCATTTCCAAGGACCCCTTGTGAACAGCCATTTTACACCCCCCTTGCATGAATAAAATATATCAAATGATCATATTAAGCATGGACATGATTTCAATGCTCATATCACAGTCGAACAGCATCCCGTAGCACAATAAACCCTATTCTGAGCACATGCAATGAGGTATTAAACGCTAATGAGTTTTCATTTACACCTACCTAAGTGATTTGTACTACAAACGTTGCTCTACAAATAAATATTTTTATCCCTCATTTTAACAGACTTGGTTGTAAATTTTCCGTCATCTTCTACTTGATCCAGCAATATACTACTGTAACTCTTGGCATTTTAATATGACATTTATATGACGAGAGCTTCAATATAAAGAGCTCCTCTAGTCTTCCCAAGTGCTCAGATTCAGCAGGTTTTTCATGTTTCTCTCACTCACGTGTCTCTCTCAGGCTATTTCCACCAAAGCTATTTAAAACTTTATTTTCTTCCCTTTTTTCTGCTCCTAATCCTTATTAGCATCCTTTACGGTGGAAATGCTTATAAAGTAGAGATTCACCAGACCCAACAGAATATTTTTATCTCTCAAAATGACAGAAAGCATTTAGATGTACCTTTCAATTTCTTTTATGTAGTAAATGACAACAAAAATTAGCTTAACAAAAATGTAATTTGCAGTATATATTGTGTATGTTTTTGTGTGTTTATATGTCTGTCCAATCAGGGATGCAATGATTAATCGATTTCACTATCTATCACTATCATCTATCACTAATCACGTTTTAATTTGTCACGGTTAATTAATTGTAAAGCCTTCTTGAACCTTCTGCACAGAACAAAACTGCGGCTTGTACACAATAGGCACACACACTGGATTAAAGGCTGATTTTAACTATTTTTGAGGCTATAAATGGTGCGTGAGCGGTGCGATGCACGCTTACACTTTCCAGGTGCACATAAAAGAATGCTGAAAGCGCAGCGTGAGTCACATGACAAGAATTGACCAGTCAGCTTCATACTTTGTATGGAATATACATACTTCTATTCCAAAAACAGAGAAAATACAAAAGAAAATACCCAAAATTTTATAATATAATTAATTAAATGGCATGTTCCTTTTGCGTTTGCTTGGGTTTCCTCCGGGTGCTTCGGTTTCCCCCACAAATCCAAGTACATGTGGTACACGTGAATTGGGTAGGCTAAATTGTCAGTAGTGTATGAGTGTGAATGAGTGTGTATGGTAGTGTAGCCAGATATGGGATGCAACTGGAAGGGCATCCGCTGCTTAAAAACGAGCTGGATAAGTTGGCGGTTCATTCCGCTGTGGCGACCCCGGAAAGGACTAAGCCGAAAATAAAATGAATGAATTAGTAGATCAAATGTGCCTTTCAGACAGGTTTAGCAGTCTTTGACTACATTTGTTCTCTTGAAAAGGGAAATACTTGGCTTATATGTAGCTTAGCTTTACACTAGACAAATACTATTTATTTAATATTTTATTTTTTTACTTAATCCTTTTTTCTGTCATTTATTTTCAGTGTGAAAGTATTACTTATGTTTAAAAACCTTTTAAACTTATTTTTAAGACCAAAAAGAAATGGACTATTATTTATTATTTGATTTTTTATAATTATTATTTTTTTTTTTTTTTGCTGTATTAATTGTGTGCTGAGTAGCAAAAAATAGCACATTAAATTAAGGGAGCTTTAATGTGATTTACTAAACTAGTAGTGTTTTGCAATTAATACAGGCATAGTAATCATGATAATGACACTGGGATAATTCCTCAGACTGTAATCATTTAACGGAAATCTATAATTGTTCCCTATTTATCGCATCCCTATTTGCAATTCAGTTAAAGATATTATACATGGATACAAAATTTATCAAAAACATTACTTTTGAAAGTTTTCTTTTTTATATGCTTTTGGATTAAAAAAAAAAATTTATTTAGTTTTATTTGAGTTTTATCATTACTTTTGTTGACTTTTTTATTGACTTATTTTGAAAAATATTATAATGTGCTATTCAGTATTCAGTATTTTTTTCATGCATTACTTTAGTATTATTTTACAAGCAGAGAGCAGTATGCTTAACCACAATACACCATGCTATAAACTCATTTATTTAGTTTTACATGATTTTTTCTCTCTCGTATGTGAGAGTATTCATTTGGAATGAATTCAAACAGTCATGTATCAAGACATTCTAATACAAGACACTGCAACACACGCAGTGAGATTTCAGCATCACGCACTTAAGGCATGTGTT